TTACAGTGTTGTGCCGGCGAACACCTCCCAGCGTGTCTGCACAAGGGTCTGCTGCATAAAACGAACACCTGGATATTAGCCCATTTAGTGCGAACTGGTCATGGTACCAGTATAAACCAATCCTTTCCAATTACTTATCGGTCAGTAATTTTTTGCCACAGCTTGTCAGACTTAAAGTCCTTCAAACGGCTGAAGCAGTGGCCATCTGGATGAACAAACCTGAGCTATGCGTACGAAACAAATATTTTCAAACCGCTTCTCCTTCCCTTGCCAAACTCAAGGACAATTAATTAATAGTAATCTTAGTTATTGAATGACTTGATTTCATTATTGCACTTACGACTTTTTGTAGTCAAATTTAATTGTCTCTGTTATCTTTATCCACAAATCTTTGTCTGATTATTATTAGCATTATTGCTGATTCATTTACTTTTCATTGACCCCACCTTATTATGTCTTACTAATAAATTTTTTACACTAAACATTTGGTCGAATTGTAACTGCACTATTATTTCTCTCACCTTATGTAACCCATATTTTTTCTGATCATGGATCTTAAATTCTCACTTAACATATAAGCTGATTCAAATTAACATTCTATGTGAATCATATCAACATTAACCATTTTATTCTATTTTATTTGACAATCCTCAATTCACATGCCTTATTTTCAAGTGATGCACTTCACCCTAAACCTGTCCATTTTTCGGATTATTAATTTGGATATATGAATTGTGGGACCTGAAGAGTATATATTGAAAAGAATATTTTTCTTTCAAATAATAGTCTTTTAATATGATGGGGATCTTTAATCGATAATATTGTTCTTTACACTTTACATTCCCTGTACTGATTTGTTAATAATAATTATAATGATTTAACGCTACCTACTATCAAATTCATATGTAAATTATGTACTAGATATTTTAATATTTTGAAACGGCAAAAACTGTATTTCAAATAAAACTATATGTTCCTATTGAATATTTTAATGAAATGTATTTGATTAATAACCATCAATGTAATCTATGACATATTGATTACAATATTCATTGTAGTATCCGAACAACACTACCGGTTATTACAAATATATCAACATAGAGAAATGTAACAAAGTAACGATAAATAGATCAATATAGTTAATTTTTGCATATAATATGAAATACAAATGTACTTAAAGATGAATCCTAAATATAAATGAATGGAGTTTATTTATTCATATAATATAACGGACGTTTTGAAAATCTCGAAGTATTTTAACCTAAATTTCTCTTTTAAAAAAAAAGAGTATCAATAGGATAAGTATGTAGATGGAAATAATAGACATGAGAAACTTAATTAGTACTACTACTACTACTACAGATATTTATGAGAATTAGTTACAGCTGACTGAATGTCTGAAAATTCAAGAGTACTCAATTTGTTCTTTAAAAGTATTATTGATATATTTTGCCCCTAATATGTTGTAAAAGTGTTCAGTAAACTATAATCATATATGATAATAATAATAATAATAATAAAGGGAATTACTTGTTTCGAAGTTAAATATATACAATAGTTTGAGTGTATTTATAAGAAGATAAGTAAATTTTATAAAAATTATTGATCAAGTTTACTGTTTTACACTGATTTTAACTGATACATTTACATTACCTTCTATCGTCTCGTTTATTTGGAAGTGAATAAGATACTTACAAAATCAACGTTCTCAGATCAATCACTAATAGTCTACAATGCCATACCAATGTACCTCTGAAACAAAAAGAAGCTCAAAGTTCAATGTCTACTTCGTTTAAGTGAATTCTATGTTATAAAAGTTTTTTAAGTTAACCGATTTTAAGCTCTCTCTCTCTCTCTCTCTCTCTCTCTCTATATATATATATATATATATATATATATATATGCTTCTCATATGGAATACATTGATGATTACTAAACAATACTTCTGTAGTTAATTAGCTAGTTCTCTTCAGTTTCACATATACTTTAATGCATCTGTAATGTAATTAAGAGTAATTTATCTTGTATGTTCATACTTACTTTTTTTTAGGTGTTTAAAGACTTTATTCACATTCTAGCTGGTACATGAAGAAAAGAATAGTCATATAGATTAACCACATTTATTAAATTGCATTTTAATATCCAATAAACGGATGAAATGTTTTGTAATAATGTTATTGGATTATTACACAAAAGCTTTAGGTTAGATTATACCAAATTAATCATTGGACTGTAAAAAGCTTTTATCAGTCAATAAGCTGTAAGTGTATACATTGGTTTGAACTTTGTTTATTTTTTACTTTCTTCTTTATGTTTATCACCAAAATTTACTTTCTGTTTCTTTAACCAGATTGTATATTAAATAAATCATTCTTTCAATAACAATATATATAATATATATATATATATAATATATATATATAATATATATATATATATATATATATATATATATATATATATATGGTTTCCCTTTTTTGACAAATTAGAATAGTTAACCTTCAAAAACTGATAAAATCATGACAGGCTTTTGTTTTGTTTCAGTTGTTTGTTCTTATATGATTCATCATATAATAATAAATTCCCAAAATGTAAATTGTTAAAACAACCATTGGAATACATATGTAAATATATCAAAAGTAAATTAATGAAAACTGAAAAACTGTGAGATTCACAGTATTTTCTTTAAAAAAAAATGAAATCAGAATGAATAATGAGTAGGTAAGAAAAGTCAGGCTACAGAATTATTGTCAATAACAATAATATTATCGTTCATGTTGGTAGTTCAATATCAGTAAACAATAACAACTGTTATATTCTAACAAAGATTAAGTTATGGGTAACTTTGGAGACCTAATAATGGACTAATATTATCTATATATACGTAATTTATGTAACTATTCAGTAACTAGGTTATATATATCTATACTTCCCTTATTATAAGCTTTATTGTACGAATCACTGTTCTTATGTTATACTCAGTTTATTAATTACTGTCTCCCACGTTCACAGCCACTTTTGGCTATATTTTGTACGAGTGTTATTTTCTATTTTATGGTGCGCTGCGGTCTGTTTGATCGATATATAAACCCAGTATGATTGAAATAAATTATTCGCATAGTGGAGGCTGTTATTGGCATACTGAACTCAGCTGGACGGGCTAGGCGAGCAACGGATCAATAGGACGTTAGGCTGATCAGACCGGTCGGACGTCATTGGCTTAGTACAGTATAAGAGCAAATTAGTCGTAATATGATTCGCGAATAGATTGCGTGATAACTACCGGGCTATCAAGTCACAACAACAACCGTAACGAGACATGAAGTCACACCACTGATAGTAAAATTAATGACAACAGTTTGGACTAGTTTTTTACAGAATATCAATATTACATATTTTGTTTCAGATAGTGTCCTGAAAATATGTTGTCTTGAAGAAATATATTAAGGGAGAATGTCAAAAAGAATACAAAACGATGTTTGATATTTGTATTTAGTAACATTCTAGAGATAAGTAGGGAGGTAGGCATTTTTCATTATTTAAATATTGAAATTTAAATGTTTAAGCAGTATCCTATTTCGTAGAAAATGTAGAACAATAATGTATTCAGAGATGAGTGCAAAAGATGTTGAGATTTTTATCGAGAGTGAGCCTTGAAAAAGCTTTATCATAAAGAAAAACGGTTTGTTTCATGTAGATTTCAGTATCTATTGTGTTAGCATAAAAAGTAAACAACTTGGTGGCGTGTATTACGAATTATCTATTCTTACAATAACAGTATCCTGCATCTAATGTGATGCTAATATACGGATTTCACTCAAAAGAACCTGAGTAATCTTCACCATGAACAGTCACTATCTGAAAAACCACTGAAAATTAAGGGCCACTTGAGAACTTTTTTCTTCTATCGTGGAGCTTCCAGGAATATCTAGCCATCATTCCACACCAAACTTAATTTAGAATATGAACACCCTGTAGTGAACATGATAGTTTTAAGACATTGATCGATAATTCGAATTTCTAGCAATTTGCTGGTACATCTTATTGACAACAACCAACTAGTGCTAAATATGGGTCGAGGGTTTACTAGTAACTTCTTTAAACTAACTAACGATGAGTAGTGTTATGGGAGATGATCTTCAGTGTATGTCATTTCCATTTAATATTTGCTTTCAAAAAAATAGTAACGTCTGTACGAAACCATCAACCATGTTAAAATTAAAACAATAGTAAATCTGCGTAAAGTGAGATTTCTACAGGGATTTACTAATGAAACGTTGGGTAGTGAAGCAAATATTTTATGAAGAATTTCTGTTAATCTTTATCTATATTTTCTAGAAAACTGTATTATATAACATGTTGATGTTCACCAAAATAACTTTTTATATAACCTGGTAACTGTGCAAATTTGTTTACTCGGTTTTAAAAAAAGCTTTTGTATAATGATTCCTAGTATTTTATAGTTTCTCACATTTTTGTATGAATAAGCAGATTTGTATGCATGGCTCAACAGTCTAAAATAAAATACTTGAAGTAATCAACAAACCTGTAATTTACCAGTGAACATTAATATATTGCATTTCGGATGCGAAAATCTCAAACTTTATGCAATTATAAATATTTCTCAATTGAGCGAAAGTTGGAATTTCAACACTTATTTCTATGAACTCCTTTCAGAGTGCAAAACATAATACCTGTGATATACCAACTTAAGAACAATATGTTATTATTATTTAGTCATTTCAGCGCAGTATAAAGTGTTACATTGTATTTAGGCTTATTGAAAGTATATCTGACGATTGTATAAAAATTGAGAAAATAACCTTTTTTGAAAATCGTAACAGAGATTTTGGTTAGTCTTCGACACTAATACGTTCTTAGCTTTTGTTTGCACAAAAAGAAATATTACTTTATTGTAATTTGTATCCTCCCATCTTACGTGATTTCAAACATTTAATATTGATAAATAATAAATAATTTAGAGAATTATTTGAACTAACCAATTCATGTTTAAATCTGGACAGATAGTTGAGTACGCGTCCACGCATAGCCAACTCATTACGTTTTGTCCATTCAAGCCAATCTTGATTTAATCGATTACTATGGTCATGGATCAACAATTCATAATAAGGAAGAAAAAAACTTATTGGAGTTGATAAATTTGGAATTTTGTTTGCTAAAAGTTGTGAACTGCTCTGTTTGGAATAGGTTGATGTTGGTGCTGATACTTTTTTTGGCATTGCTACATGTGGTTTGTACATTTGGACTAGTACTAAACCGAATAATAAAACGATCACAGTGAATCCAATCACTGAGCTAATGTAATGTGACTTTCTACAGCATGCACTTCGTATGCCTAACATGCAACAGGCATTTTGTTCAATACCAAAAGATGATGATGGTGGTAGGCATAATGGTGGTCCAATAGGAATCAATGAACTGTCAGGAAGTGCTTCACATAGATTTTGTTTTGAGGGGTCACATAAAAAATTTAAGCGAAAGTGCTGTTTTGATTTATTTTTACTTTGTGAATCAATGACTTGATTGGAAATGATCGATGAGGATGTCGTTTCTGAAGATTGAGAATTTCTAGGGATTCCAGATAAATACATCGATGGTTGATACAATGCCTTTAAAGAAAAATAACGAAATATTCAACAGGATCAGTATAAAATGTTTCGATATAAATGCTTTTAAAATATATGTAATATTCGCACAGTCAACTTTTGTTCCCATTAAAGTTGTTTAATCCAGTGCTTTATTCACTTTCTATTAACGTTCGCACTATCTCAGTAAATTTATGAGGCAATAAACTTTCATAGAATAAGGCATTACAAATGTTAATTCAAACTGGAGAGTAAACTATGTACAAGAGTTTCAATTAAGAAATTAATACGTAACATCTATGATATATTAACTGGCTAATTCTATGATAAAAAAATATTTTATAGTTGAATACACGAGTCAATTGAAGTTAGACTACCATGGAAAACCTGGAAACACTAGACGGCCGTCTCATACTAGTATGGGACTCCTTAGCAGTGTACACCCACGATCTCGTCTAGCGAGATTCGAAACCAAGACACGTCAGTCTCGCGCATGAATGCTTAACCTCTAGACCACTGGGCCGGCCGGGATCCAACGGTGTTAATGTCTAACTTCCACCACTTCACAAAATTGAGCGACAGAACCACCATTGTCATCAGTGAGTTACCATCTCACAACAGACACGGTTGAACTACACTTATCACTGCTACACAAGAACTCCAGGAAATACCTCTTGAAGCCAGTCACTAGTGAGGATATGATGATTGTTATTAGAAAGTGTTTTGTGGAGCTCAGTGGTCTAGAGGTTAAGTGTTCGTGCGCAAGAATGTTAGGTCCAGAGTTCGGATCTCGCGAGGTGGGATCGTGGATGCGCACAACTGAAGAGTCCCATACTAAGACAAAACGGAGGTCAAGTGCTCCCAGGTTTTCCATGGTGGTCTGGCTTTAATTGACTCTTGATTTCAACAATAAAATTACTAAAATCTCTACACAATCCCTTCTGATAATAAAATATTTGTTATTAAAGTAAAACATGTTTTCCATTATAAAATATATTACTCAGAAATAAAAGATAAATAAGCATTTAGAACATTAACTGATATGTATTGCTTTAACGGTCTAGTGAATTTACATCTCAAATTTGAAAACATCTAATAAGGCATTTTATAGCTTTTCTTACAATGCATAGCCAACTTTTTTTCGTTGCTCAACAATATTAAACTGTGCAAACAAACAAATTCAATGTCATGTTAAAGCATATTACTCAAGTTAATCATTGAACTGAGATATCAAAATGGCATAACTACTCGTGCTAGCGTAAGCACGCCTTGTTACTGTAGTTGCTTAGATTCGTTAATCAATCACCTTGATAACCGTTTTTATATAAATCACAACGGTGTTTGAAATCACAAGGTAATAGGAAACGGCGACTACAGTTTATTATCGGATAGCACAGATCACAAAGCTACAAGCATATCGAGCGGACTCCGAGCGGAGGGGAGAATATGCGACCGAGCGAGCAAATGCAAAGGCGAATTCATGGTCAAATCGAATAAGGGCACAACAAGGCAAGGTGAGTGCTCATAATAGGGTTGGAGCACACATATACATGGGGAAGAGAATGATTCGTTAAGCGATACTTAAGATATTGACATTTAAGCTAGAGTGCGTTGACTGTCACATGTGATCATAATAATACAATAAATATGCAAATTGTTACTGTTCAAATGGCATTGTTTGTTAAATAAGTTAATAATAGGGCTTAACCAAAATTAACCATAATCCAGATTAATTGTAGGAGAGTTGCTACATTACAATAATTTAAAAGAAATTCTCTTTGTTAATTCCGTTATAGAAGTATACGGAAAAATCTTACATGAAACTGATGCATTTATGATGATAAGTGAAGTTTAGATGTAAGTTAAGTCTTTTTTTAAAGAAGTAGGCCAAACACACTTGAGACTACAATAAGTTCCGTGTATGCTAGTAATTGACATTCTATCCGTAACTATGTTATAAGTTAACTAATTTTAACAATTATAATAAAGGATGTTAGTAGAGGTTAATAATAGTAATATCTTTTTAAGGTGTGTTCGTCATCACGTTTAGTCTCTTACTATAAACACTGATTGAATTTCAATAGGTTAGATTGATTAATGATGACAAAGAAAGCCATATGTGCCTACTCTTAAAGAAAAGCAAATAACAAGTCACTATTTCCTGCCAATTTAAACAATTTTCTATTTTAATCAGAGAGGGGTTTTGTGGATATTCTAGTAATTTCAGTAGTTGAATTCATGAGTCAATTGAAGCTAGACCAACATGGAAAACTTGGAAGAACTGGAAAACCGTTTCGTTTTAGTATGGGACTCCTCAGGAGTGCACATTTATTTAATAATGGGTTCATTTCGAAAAAATTTCCTTTAATTATACCATCTTCTACAGGTATTATGGTGAGACTTTAATTTATGGAGGACCTTTGAGCGACGCTAAAGTGACCTTGTGAGTATCTACCTACTTACTAGGGCTAAGTGAGGGATTTAAAGCGGTTTGAAGAATAAGGATTGTGATTTACAGTTGATGGTTAGGGTTATAAATTAGATTTAGGGTTTTCATTACGAACTGACATCAGCTAAAATGCCAAGACTCTATTCAGTGTTATCGTAAATCTTATTGGTTCGTCCATAAATTATAGTCTCGCCATCTATTAGAACATTTAATTGTTTTTTACTACAGTAAACAGATAGATCTGTAATCATAAATTTTCCCATTATGTCTCACTTTTTATTATTTTTATTCTATAAAATACTACTTTTTTGTCGTTTATATACAAGAAATATTTATTGAGCTAATCAAACAATTCTATTTCACTGGTTGAAATCATGAGTCAATTGAAGCTAGACCACCATGGAAAACCTGGAATCACTGGACGGCCTTTTCGTTTCCAGCAGTGCACATCCACGATCTTGCACCCCGCGAGCTTCGAACCCAGGACCTATCAGTCTCGCGCCATGCGCTTAACCAACTAGACCACTGAGCCGGCATCCAACGGTAGTAATGTCTAACTTCAACCAATCCACGAAGTTGCGACACCGTACACCAATATCTTCAGTGAGTTTCTATCTCACAACAGACCTGGTTGAACTCCACTGGTAACGACTTCTCATTAGAACTTCAGGAGTATCTCCTGAAGTCAGTCGCTAGTGAGCAGGTGGTTATTATTATCAGAATGGGTTTTGTGAAAATCTGAAATTCGATCATTAACGATAATCAAAATAATAACTATAATATTATTAATCGATTATTGCGTAATATAAATTACATAACAATAAATAGTTTTCGCATAAATGTGTATGTACTTATTTCATTCAACTTACTATGTAATCATTCTGGATTTGTTACTCACTTCATTACAGAATAGATAATTCTTACTTTATCTCTTTTTTCATATTAAAATTGGATAACATCAGAAATTTATAATTAAATTCTTTTTAATTGAAATCGTTACAAAAATAGAAATAAGAGGATATTAAAAATTCTAAATGCTGTTTATCAGTGTACTTTTCAAATGGATTGAAAGCATTCAATAGTGCCATCGCAAAACATCTTGACACAGGACACAAAGTCGATGCACTGAAGTTCTTCAAGGTGATTAATAAACAATCAAGCTCCAACCTTCTGAAATTTGCTGAAGCATAGGCAATCAAACGTCTAAAACCAGACCTATGTATACAGAAAGAGACAGTAATAAATCTTTTTTTACCCTGGTAACAATACCCCCCCCATTTTTATTCATTTCTATTTATTTATTTATTGCGTCATTATTCCAACTTTTTCTGAAGTTTAAATTACATCATACATAACTGAATGACTTAAATTCATATTTTGTTTATTACCATTAATCTATTTTCATGAGTTCTAATCACTATTTAAATGGTCCGGAACTTTCCCTCTCAAACTTTATTTATTTGAGACAAAATTTTATGACCTCATTGACTCTATCGGAATCTTCTCTACACCATGATACATTTATTCATCCTTAATCACCCTCTTATGTATAAGTATGTCAATATCTGTAATAATGTTGAATTTTAAATAATTTAGGTTGTAAGCAGCTGATGAGAACCTAACGAAATAAAATGAATTCATATTATTCCGCACCAATCTTTGTTCTTGCTCTCTTTAAGATGATAAAGGGAACTATGTGTATGAAATTTTCAAGTTGTACTGACTGTTATATTGTTTTTTTATTAAAAGTCATGGTGTTTTATTTCATAATAATCACAATCAGTTACAAATGGGAATACAATGATTAAATTGAAACTAATTAATTAACTATGTGACTTTGTTTCGATAAAATTCACGGAATCCATAACAGTTGTAAAGCTTAAATCTAACCTCATTAAGAGCTAGTGGTTGATCTTCAAATGTCTTAGTAACAAAAACAAGTAGTATGATAAATAAATATCATAACCCCTTTGTATCAGTTATGATCAAAATCTATTGATTTTTACTCAAAATAATCATCACATTAGTAACCATCTTTATTTTAACTATTTTATGTGACAAATGTATCATATATTCTTGAATTGTTACTCCAAGATGTAAATGACAACTTTGTTCAAACTTTAATTTTTAACATGGTTAGCCTACCCTTGATTGTTGAACAGTTCGTTGCTTACAATGTCGATATTATGTTAAAATTTCGAAATTAAATTTCTTAGTTTGTATGTTACAAATATTATTATTCTTTACTTAAATCTTTTTATCTATTGTAATCATATATAAGTACAACGGATTGTGGCCCAAAGAATGTTTTTTATACATGAAATATTTATATAATTATCAGGTCTGGTAAGGAAAGACTTGTTAAGCCAAGTTAATGAAGCATATACTTCAATACTGTATCAATTTTATCACAATGTTGAACTAGAAGCTAAGAAAAAAGTGAGGAAGCGTGCTTTTTAGATTTGTCTGTTGGCCGCAAACAAACTTCACTAAGATGATGTAACTAAATAGAAGTTTTTAGGTAATCCACTCTCGACTCCCATACCCCGATAAGAACTGATCAATTCTTATTCTTAATGTCAACAACACGTCAGCGAATACATTTAAAATAAGTAAGAACTGTTATTGTGTGAATATCAAATAAGTTTACATCACACTGATTATTATTGACTTATTCTGTAGTGTCTCAGAATGGACATATTCACACGAACTTATAAATGGATCAAGATAATTAACTATATTTCATTTCTAATAAAATTTAACTTAAATTTATATCTTTTCTATGTCAACAAATCAGTGTGAGCGATATATGTAAACTAATTAATTATTATGTCTACTTGTCAAAAATGATGATATTTTTCGTCCTTTAACCAAATTCAACCAGCCAGAAGTCTTATATGAAGAGAAGAAGATTGGAAAAAACTGAAGCGAAGAAAATTCCCATTATTTCTCCAAGTGTTTTTTATAGTTTCATGAGTAGTGTCATTTAAGATTAAACTAAAAAACCAATTAATATAGAAAAGGACACAAAGATTAATGGAATCATAATTTAGAAAGCTCTTGTTCTCAGACATTTTAACAGTATGTGAATTGTGTATATTATTTGAGTTAAATTCGATGGATAAAATATATTGTAACGAATAATGAATGGCAATGGTTATTTTATTCAAATTATGATCAACTAAAGGGTACATAGGAAAACTAAGACGTAATGACAGATAATGGAGATTAAATACAGCTCTATGAATACTAAGTAAAGATTATATTTCGTCGGGTTAATCGGGTTCCTTTAATAAACTTATCACTGAATACGAATTAGAAACGATTTCAAAATAACTTTCCTTTTTAACGATATAAATTTTCCTTTGTACTTTAACTATGATACTTCTCAAGTGAAATAATTGGTTATCTCGTTGAATGTATCATGAATAAAATCTATGTGATCGAAGTTAAAATAACTAAAAGTGAACATATTTATTTTGGCATGGTATTTACTTATGATTTTTAATTGTACTGCAACGATCTTTTTTATGTTAGATAGTTCATAATATACTTTCTCTAAAGGTTTAACGTCATTTTGCTCACTGAAGCTTATTATAATAAAAATAAAGAAAATGAAAATATGTTTTATAAACTTATCGAGTGTAACTATAATATTCTTGAATTGAAAAAGTCACTTTTGTTGTTTGATACCATAATCCTGAAGGAATGAAGTTTGTAGTCTTCGATGATATGTTGAGACCACACAGCTTATTCTAGCTTCTGAACAGGTCAATCTATTCTTCTTGTGTCACGTTTTGACTTTGTTAATTATTCACTTATCAACTTTGACTGTTTTTATATGAACGTATGTGCGTGTATATCTTATCCTAATAATGACGTCTATAGTTTATTTTTGTGTGACTATAAATATTGATTAACGCTTGATTAAATCGAGTTGGCTCACATGCCTTCTCCAACGCGCGTCATTTCACTTCGCTTTCTTCTATTCGCTTCATCCGTCTCATTTTCTGTCCAGATACGTGAGTGTACAAAATATATGTATTCAAACATCCATTCTCGTATTTGACTTATTTAATTCCGTTATTCACTAACGAGATTTAAGTTGATGATTATATACGAGGATAGACGATATGTATATTTCATCAACCATTCATACGATCTACTCGGAGTCCGAGTTCGGGCCACAAAAAGTGGTGACCTCGTTGACAACATTGTTCGATCTAACTGACGTCAAAATAAAGGGCCCCACTAAAAGTCCTACAAACGTATATTATTAGTTACATTTATTATTAGAATTTTTTTATGAACCCTTTGTACTTTCCTCATTCTTAAAAGTGCATCTCCCTTTTCTACATAGACAATTAGATAAGCTGCATTGTTTAATTCATAATTTAGGCAAATATAAATCTTTATTTAGACTGTAGTAACTTTGATACTTTGAATTTATTTAATAACTGAATTTTCTTTTGTAAATTTTGTAAATACAAAACAGTTATTTAAAACAAATATGGTAAGTTAATTTATGCTTTTATAAACTAACAAAGAATAAACTCCTACTATATAAAACAAAACAAGTGAGTTCACATATTTTTCTCACTATTCACTATTAAAATAACGGGGTCTATTGTGAAATAGTAACTCACTGAAGACAATGGTGAATGTGTTGCTCAATTTCGTGGATTAGTTTAAGTTAGACAATAACGCAATTGGATGCCGGTTTGGTGGTCTAGAGTTTAAGCGTTCATGCGTGAGACTGATATGTCCTGAGTTCGAATTTCGCTAGGCGAGATCTTGGATGTGCACTGCCAAGGAGTCCCACAATTGAACGATACAGTCGCTTAGTGCTTCCAGATTTTGCAATGGTGGTCTAGCTTCAATTGACTCATGATCTCAACTTTTAAATTTACCATAACATCCACAAAACCCATTTCTGTCAATAATAATAATAATAATATTGTTTTTCCTTTCATGTTAAACATGATAACAAACGTAAGAAAAAAAATGTTGTATTTCATTCTATGCTCATTTTCATGCTTTCATATTATAAATCTCATCTAACTGAATATATTATTTTCCACAGTATTTTTTTATACTCTAAATGAATTATATTATCAGTGATATCTATATACTGTATGCTTTGCTATAATTAACCATAATTTATTTTAAAATTTCTGTTATACAGTACTACTACAAAATCCCTAGTGATTACAATCATTCTAACCTGCCAACTATTTTATCATGATTTATTATTAATCAAATAGATATGTTCAGTTAAACAACTAAAAATTCTATAAATTTCAAAACCTACTTTTTTTTATAAAAAAAAAGTTTGTTTGTTTGTTTGTTTTAAATTAGACAATAAAATAAACTAATTTTTAAATCGTTTTTTTTGTCATCAGATATATTTTAAAAAATTTTGTTTAAAAAAAATTATAATTTTTCTTTTTTTTGATCAGAAAAAAAAATATTGAACAAGGTTCCTTTTTTATTTTGATTTACATATTACTAGTTAAAAACATAATAACATGAAGTAGATAAATATGGTTACGTCCTTGGCTATACGGAAATTGAAACCCCCTTTATGTGTTTAAAAACAATTTGTCCTTACACTTAGCCTAACCTGGTAATACTGAAATATGGTTACGTTTTATTTAATAAATAAAGTAACAAATGAATATTGTTATCAATTTTACTGTGACTGAGATTATATCGAAGTTGTCACAGGTTTTTTGTTTATATTTTAATAATTAAAATGTGTTTACTTATAGTTTTTTGTTTGCCTAACAAGTTAGAGGTTCTGGGGGGGTTATTTATAAATAATTATTGGATTCATTATTATTATGATATACATGAGATAGTAACTCACTGATGACATTAGTGGATGGTTGAAGTGGATTAGTTGAAGTTAGGCATTAACACTGTTGGATATCGGTCAACTTAGGGATCTAGTGGTTAAACGCTCTCGCGTGAGGCTGTTGGGTCTTGATTTTGAATTTCGCAAGTCGGGGGCGTGGATGCGCGCTGCTGAAAAGTCCCATACTAGGACGAAACAACCGTCCAGTGCATCTAGGTTTTCCATGGTGGTCTAGCCTCAGTTGATTCATGAATTAAACTCTTAAAATTACTATAATATCTACAAAAACCCTTCCCTAATTACTTAATAGTCGTTGATATTTTTTTACTTACTTTCTAGTAGATCAGATTAATTTAAAGTTGATTGGCTCTGTACTTGTATTCTGATATCTAATATGTTGATTTTTATCAGAACAGTTCTTTTATCGGTTACATATCCTGGGATAGTTTATTTAAATCACCCTTCTCTTTTATTAGTCTTATCATATGTATTTCACTCATAGTTTCTGTAAGCATATTACTAAAAATTCATATTTCCAATGAAATAAACTTTTCATTACAACCTTAAAAGTAATCGATGATGTCTGGTTTCTATTCATCAGTATGATTACAACTAATCACGCTGCACTGAATTATCATTCTTTTTTACGTTTAATAACATTTTATAATTTGCATAAAAATTAATTAAGATCCGAATCTAAGCTAAAGATGAAAATAATAATACTGGCACACTGTAAATATATACAAAGTCTGATGAGCGTGCAACATTTGTTCCCTTAGGATCCTGGAGCTAATGTGACTTGTGTGGCGCATATGTATTCGGTACTCCTTTGTACCAATATTTATGTGTTCAAATAAATAAAAACATAAACTGGTGAGCGTAAGTTTTGTTGTTTACTTCTGTTCGAATTTTTAAGAAAGCAAAAACAAACTAAGATCCTTTTCGAGTCGAGATTTCGTTAGTATCCAATATATAATGTGATTTGCATGAAAATGTTCTAATTTTAAAAGTGTTTATGATGTCTGACGAAAGATAATCATTAAATTCAAAGACGAGTTTGATCTTATAGTCAATTATTAATAATCATGAGCTTATTATTTTTGATTTGAATGCATATAGAGCATCAAAACGATTTATTAAAAAAATCCCCAAACAATTACCTGCTTTTCATGTCGACATTCATATAGATTTTGATGTTGTGGGAGACATTGAAATAATGCTGTTCTTGAAAAACGTTTATTCGGTGTTTCATTAAAATCAGGCAAATTTGATTGCAGACATTTTTCTTTTCCTGCAGAATTTCTACATGAATGACTGTCAAACGGTTCATTTATTGTTTTGTTTGCTTCATGAAAATTTCCATTGTCTCTTTCATTATCTAAAGTGGTGTGTGTTTGTCTCTCTAACCAACTTGATGCATCGACAAATAAAGTTTGACCTGTCCAAAAAGCTTTCAAGATTTTATATGTATGAAAAAATCTGTAAGCAATAATGAAACAGTCTAAAATTAGTAAACTTAAACGAATATGTGTTAAAGTCATCACTGGTAACATTGGATGTTTGTTTGGATAGTTCAATTGACTTTGAACACTTTGTTGAGTATTGTATTTAATATATTGAATAAAATTTTCTGAAATAAAAGTATTTTGTTCGTTGAAAATGTCCTGTGTAAATTTATCACTCACTGAACTAATTGTACCATCGGTATATTCTTCCAAATCATTTGTTGTTAGAAATACACGTTCTTGTTGTGTTTTTTGAATTTGTAAAGTTTTAAAACTATTTACTTGATGATGTGTTTTAAAATTAACCTCAGAATTCATGGAATGACTAGATGCTTCTGGGGATAAGTGAAACAGTGAACGATAATGATTCGGAGAATTGAATACTTTCTTAAGACTGAAATAAATACAAAATGAAAGATAATTAAGATAATCTTAATTAAATTTTTTGAAATATTAGTTCAGTATAATTAACATTTCAAAACTGAAAAGATTACTCATACTGTGGTGCGTGCTACTTATATTGATGTAAGTAGTATATGACGCGAGTCAGAAACGTAATATCTGGCATCAGATGATGGGAGAAGATCAAGGAAGGAAGAGCAAGAACACAATGCAATTTGTAAGAAGACGCATGAACAATGAAATGTGAGACAATGGATTAATGATTGCAACAGCAACAGTTTGGTTTGATGTGATGGAATGGTATTTTGCAAATTAACGATTTGTTATATTGTTTTTCAATTTTACCGAGTAACTTTGTAAATTTGTGGTAAATACGTTACGTCGTCCCCACCCGTGTTCTGTTCACTACAATACTATCCTTTATCGGAATATAGAGTTTTCAGAAGCTAATTTTATGTCTTATATCTGAAATATATGACCATCTATAAACTATATATCTATCAATTGCACGGTAAATTGTATTTTAAAGGATCATTTCGTTTTAGTTAAATTAATATCGTCTAAACTGAAGTGTGATAAACTTGATCCAGTTGTTATGCAGTGACCACTCAATGTAACTTGATGTCATACTGCATCTTATTAAATATGAGCGGCTGAAAACAATACTTCAAAAGCCATAGAACTAGGTTCCAGATCATATGATTTTTCATAAACAGAATTGGCTCATCAATAAATATTTGACACCACGAAATTGATATTTACTCCGTGACCAACTAGTGCTAACACCCCAGTCTTGCATTCGAATGGATGGAAATACCACTGGCTTTGATGCTCAATATCTTAGGTATAAGCCCATCGCCGATAATCTGTTGCGTCTAAAATCTCAGATACTCCTTATTTAATGAGTATTCGCTAGTCTAAAATATTGATTTGGCACATCATTCTGTTTTCTTTCAACCATTTAAAAGTGACCGTTTCCATTTTTATTCATTGTCACAGTTGTTCAAAAAACTAAACCATATGTTGGTTGATTGGATTACTTCGTATCATGGCTTTTCAAGATTCGGTTCAATCCAACGTTTATAAAATTAGATGAAATCATATTAGTTCTATTTACCTGTGAATGCTTATGATTACTATTTGATAAAACAGTAGTACAGAGAGAATGAATAATAGTTATACAGAAATTGGTTAAACTCGATTTATTAAGCACATATTTACATTTCGTTTTTTCTCAATCACATTGGTGTACTAGTAGTTATCTAATAGGCTCATTTTTCCTAAATACAAATAAAATCATTTAGCTTTGAGCGATTTATTGTAGAAAAAATAATAGGCTATCAAAGATGAAATTACTCCCTAGTTCGTTTCTTAGCCTCAGAGAATCTCACTATTAATGGAAAATAGAGTAACCTTTCAAATTTGACTATTATGGCCCAAAGTATTTTGGTTTACTTAGTTAAATCTGAGTGTTTGCTATTTTAGCATTACAAATATGTTGTTAGCAATCTTTTTATTGTTCAGACGACAAGTATAGACCAGTAATGCTTTCTAGCAATCCATATAGATTTGAATGTAATTCAAAAGTGAAACAGTTTCACGGTCGTGTTGGTAATAATCGATAAGACCGACTTTTTAGTCTTACCACTTATAATTTATTCCTTTTTAGTTAATTCCGTTTTTAAATTAGGTTCTCTATCTGCTAATGACTATCACTCATACGAATTATCATTGTTTCCAAAAAAGATGCTTTTATTAATCAGTCGCCTGATCATCATGATCTTCGAGGTCGTTGATAAATAATTTTGAGCAAATTAAATATATAGAAAAATCTCATACTGACAAGGAGAGCGTGATAACCACTATACTGAGTTCCAAAACAAAACATTTTATGCGGAATAATAGGAATAAATTAAATAATTCATAGATTCACAATACGTTCTTTGAATGATATTTCCAAACTACTAGACACCTTGTTCATAACATATAACAGAAACATTTTGTGTTAACACTCAAGTGAACACTAATTTAAAACCACATACACCATATACAACAAAGCCGTCAGTAATTAATTAAGTTTAATGGCTCTTTCATCAGTTAAGATTCAAAACTGTAATCTTTTGTAATCATTTCAAGAAGTTCTAAGCTGAGATTAAGCGTTTGTCACTAGGGAATTTATGTTCCTTCAGCAACTTTTGAATAAATTATCTCAAAAATGTTAGAACAGTATTAATTTTTCTAATTTTTCAAGAATGCCCATAAAAATTTAACTGAAGTTCTATGGTTATAACTAGCTTTTCAAGGTAAGAGCTAATCCGGATATATATATATATATCAGATAGCAATTTATGTATTAAATAAGAAAGATTACTAAGAAATTTGTGCTGTGTTTCTGTGGTTTTTAAACTTTTAGTGAGATCAGATATTAAATTTTCGTGCGCTTGTCGATAACTGTGGTAACATATTCAGTGAAAAGCTTGTGTTCGTTAGGTGATAATTCATGTAATACAGATCTTTGTGAAATGTCAAATTCCAATTACGGGATGCGTGAACGAATAGAATCGATAACATTTTGTGCTTGGCGTTTAAGAGATGTATTCTGTTTAATAACAATTTGTGTTAAACTGGAACAAAATTTGCAAATCCCTAACCAAAATTAATCCAATAAATTAATATCTGACGAGGTTTCAATACTTGCCTAATTAACATAACTATTAAATAATTAAGATGGTTTTAGATTACATACTAAATATTATTTTTTAAAAAGCTGTTCAAAATATTGATTTCTATTGTAGTAGTAATAATAATCCATTCAACAATAAAGGTGTCCAAAACGTTTATGAATAACTCTTTGATGGTTCCTTTGTATTGATTGAAGTGATTAGGCATAAGCACAAAAAAAAGGAACAATTTCGTTTTATTCCTTTGTTTACTAGGAGGATACATGCTTAGTATAATGCTATTTTCATGTATTATTACTTTACTAGATTTTGTTTTTGTTTAAAATAAGAGATAATCGATTTTATTCTGAAGGTGTACATTTACTTAGATATTCATTTGCACGTTATAAGACATTTGTTGTTTTGAAAGGATATGAATTTTCAAGGAGCATTTATAACTGAAGATATTTCTCACGGTAGAATTACAGTTTAACATATGTTGTACAGATTGAATGCTAACTACCCTGTTTCTCATTTTAAGGGCTAACATCCCAAAGTCATAGAAAGTTAGCAGATCTAAAAGTGTAGACTTAATGAATAACCTGACAATTTTTAGTAACTAGTTGGCAAATAAACCAGTAAAAGTGTACAAATATCAACTGTTTGTAAGTCAAATTGAATTTCTCTCATGATCATTAAAATAATCTGCTTTTACTTCAGAATTTTCAATAACATCAATAAAGACGTTTAATACTCAGCCAGCACTGAAAAATGTTTCCTTTAAATTAAAGACTCTTCAAGAATGAAGACCCACTAACACATTAAGAATCGAGATCAGTATATTCAGACCTCTCTGATAACCCATTAGTATTTCCTCATTTGGTTGTAATCCATTGATTGATCCTCGACAAATATATGTAGTATGTTGTTATTTGCCATTTAATCTCATCTTCCGCCTTTACTTACCTGATTTAAATGATGAGACTAAGAACTAAATGAAACATGATATTTCGCTAGCAAATAGTACATGGTTCCGTGTGCCTACTTGTTTCAAACGTTCAGCAAGTGATATATATGTTATAGACAAATGTTATCATTCAAAATTTATCACTGGCCTATAACAGGTGCTGTAAGAGTGTTTTGTAAGTTATAGGTCGAATTGGATACTAATTCTGAAGTTTCAGCTACTGCATCAACAGAAATAGAAGTGGTGATTAGAATTTATCAGTACCTTCTTCATTGAAATTAAATTGGGAATGGAAACCTTAAGTAAATTTCAAGAATTTCGAAGGTGATTTTCGTTACCAATCTCTGTTAAAAGGAAAGCCATTAAAAACCATGAATCAATTGTTTCAGTCAAAATTGTGAAAGGAGTGACTTACTGGTGAGCCTCAAACCAGCAATTTGCAGTAATTTGCATAATGGCAGAACCAGAAAAACCTGAAGACTGCACTTTCAAACAAGTGTTATTTTAAAGGCAAATAAATCCATTGTTGTCCTTTGAATGACATTAGATAATGCAGCTGATTACTTCTATATGTCATTTTTAGCAAGTAGATTTAATTTATAACTGATTGGCCACTACCTAGTGATCAATGTCCTGTGTGCCAAGCCCTTCTTAGTGCGGATGGTGACTAACCAATCAATCGTAAATACATCTCAGTCCTGCAGGAGGTCAGTCGTGACCCAGATAGCACAGCAGTAATGTCTCTGACTGTGAAGCTGGGTGACACGGCAGTGAATCTGTCAGGGAGTTTCAGTTCCCTCAGGGTTGCAGGTACACCTTGTTGACGAGTGCCAAAAGGCATGCAGCCTAGGTCCAAAGTTTCATGTCGACTACCTCACCCACCATCTCAAGTAGACTTAAGTTCTACTATTACTGGTCTGAACTCCGCCTGTAGGTCTTCTACAGTTACTGCCAGTCGCAAACCTGTGTGAAGAAGGAGAGTTGAACATGTAATCAGAAACCCCATCCAATAGAAGAATAGTTTGTTAAAACAACGCTAACCAGATTAAACAAATTAAACCTTTTAGACTCTGCCTTGGTAGTTGAAGGAAGAATTATGACACCTCAGAATCAAAGCTGAGATTCGTCGGAAGCTACGAGGCCGATGCTCTTTATAATCAACAGAGCAAAAATTTTTATGGGTACATGGAACGTCCGGACAATTTGGGAGACCGGGAGGACGAGTCAAATAGCAACGGAAATAAGGAGATACAACTTGGCACTACTCGGAATCAGTAAGACCCATTAAACCCATGCTGGACATCAAGGGTTAGGTACGGGAGAGATGCTGCTGTACTCTGGTGACGAAGAGGGAAATGCTCCACACACTCATAGAGTTGCTCAAATACTGTCCAAAGAAGCACGAAATGCACTTATTGGGTGGGAATCTCACGGATCCAGGATCATCAAAGCACCCTTCAAAACAAAGAAAGGGAGAATCACAATAAATGTTATCCAGTGTTGTTCACTCACCGATGATAGCAATGACGACTATAAAGATTAGTTCTACGATAGGCGAAGTGCCCGAGAAAGGACCTCACCATCCTGACGGAAGGTCTAAATGCCAAGGTCAGAGTGGACAACACCTGATATGAAGATATCATGGGACGACATGGACCGAGAAAGAGAAACGAAAATGGGGAGAGATTTGCAAATCCATGTGCATTCAACAGATTGGTTGTGGGTGACACAATATTCCCACACAAACGCATACACAAAGCTACATGGATCTCACCGGACTACACCACAGAGAACCAGATTGGTCATAGTTGCATCAATAAAAAGTTCCGAAGGACAATGGAAGATGTGAGAACCAGGAGAGAAGTTGACATTGTTTAAGACCACCACCTAGTTGTGTCCAAGATGAGACTGAAGCTCAAGAAACACTAGACAGCTGGGGAAACAGCAGTACAGAGGTTCAATGCAGCCTTCCTTCAACATATCAACCTACTCAACGAATTCAAGATAGCTCTGAACATCAGCGTCAAAGCCCTACAGAATCTGTTGAAAGAAGAAGAAACTACTATGAAGGACGACTGGAAAGAGATCGAAGAAGCATTAGTTTCAGGCATCGTCAACATGAGGGACAGATCTCTATGGAAAACCTGTTTTGGATTCGAGAAAGGAGAACAAGAAGACAGCAATTAACAGCAGCCAAAAAAGAGCAGAGAAAGTCAAGGCACACACCGAATACAAAGAAGCGAACAAGCAAGTGAAGAAGATCATTAGAGCCGACAAGCAGAAACACGTGGAAGAGTAAAAAGCCGCGAGAGAAAGAAATGCAAGGCAGCTATATGACGCAACGAAGAAACTAGTAGGGAAATAACGTAAACCAGAGAGACCGGTCGAGAACAAAGAAAGCAAGACAATTACAGAGATTCAAGAACTCTCCATCAGATCAGCTCCATTGAATCCACTCGATATCGAAGCAGTACACACAAACCTTCCGATAAATATCACTCCACCAACAGTCAAAAACATCAGCGTGGCCATCTGAAAAATCAAAAGTGGGAAAGCAGTTTAACTTAAAAATATACCAGCTGAAGCTCTGAAGTAAGACAGAGAAGTAACTGCAAGTATGCTTCACGTTCTGTTCAGGAAGATTTAAGAGGAAGATCAAGTGCCAACAGACTGGAAAGAGGGACACCTCATCAAGATGCAAAAGAAAGGAAATCTGAGCAAAATTTAGAACTACAAAGAAATTACGCTACTGTTAATGCCAGGAAATATTTCAACAGAGTGTTGCTGAACTGGATGAAAGACGTAGTAGACACCCACCTTCGAAATCAACAGGCTGGATTCCGTAAGGACCGGTCGTGCACAGACTAAATAATGACGCTATGGATCATCGTTGGACAAGCAGTTGAGTGAAACTCGTCACTATACATCAACTTCACTGACTATGAAAAGGCGTTTGACAGTGTCGATGTGAGGACCTTATGGAACCTCGTTCTACACTATAGAGTACCTCAGAGGATCATCAATATCATTCTAAATTCATACGACGGACTACAGTGCAAGGTGGTGCGTTTAGGACAGTCGACAGATGCATTTCAAGTGAGGACCAGGGTCAGATAAAGCTGTTTACTCTCGCCCTTCTTCTTTCTTCTGGTGGTTGTTTAGATTATGAAGACCTCGACATTAGAGGGAAAGCACGGAATACAATGAAGTGTTTAGAATCAGCTAGACGATTTGAGGCAAGCCCTAACATAAAATCCTTAAGGAAAGCGGAAATGAGGAAAGCCGAAGAACATAATACGTCGGGGATTGGAAGCAGATATGGAAAGGATGAATAGAAACTGGAAAGAACTGGAAAGGATTGCCCAGGACAGAGTCGGATAAAGAGTGGTGGTGTGTGGCCTATGCTCCTCGTTGAGGATGACAGGAGTATTTATGTAAGTAATTACTGATCTGGATAGAAATTACTATATTGAAAATATTGAGGTCGTTTTGTGAATATGGTTTCATAAAGTAAATATATCACTGTACAGTACCAACATATTTTAAAACAAACGATTTTTATTATCAGCAAAAAACACTATATATACTACTTTAAATAAAAGATTATTTTAAGTCCCAAAACGAATATCTTACTTCTCAAGCAGCTGTAACGGTAACAGGTGAACAGCATCAGCTTGGTAAAAATTCATATAATTCATTAAAGCGACATATGATGCTTTGATACCGGATCTTTGTTGAGCGAATTCGTAATATCTTCTCATACTGTCATGAAAGTTAAGTTTAGTTTCTGTATGTACTTTGTGATTTGAAAAGTGTCTAGGATTTCTTTCTAAATTATCTGAAGTGTTCAACATACGTTTAACATATTGAAGCCAACCAGAATGAAAAACAGAATTAAGCATATTTGTATAGATCTTATAAGATTCAGAATTACGGAAATCTAACTTTTGACTCATTTGTTCATATAAATGATCAAATAATGTACGTTGTTTGTTGAAATGAATATTTGCTAATTCGTTGACAGAACGTAGTGTGCTGTCGTTTAAAGTATCAGTATTTTGTGATGTACTATTAAATTGCCATTTTTCAAGCCTAGTATTTACCAAATGTCTACCTTCTCTGAGAGCATCTGTCAATTCAACTGTCATAGCGTGCTGACAAGCTAATTTCATACGTTCAACGTAATCAAGTTGTCTTTTTAATTCTTGTTCAGTAAATTCTTCTATCCAATGAACTTCAGCTTGAAGCCTTAAAATTGGACCAACTAGATGAATCTGATCCAATTCTGTTTCATGCATTGGCAAGGATGATGCTGTTAAAACTGATATTCGTGATGGCCTGTGCATACTACTGTGAAGTGAATTGAACTCTATTGACTCTCGATTTATTTTTGGCCATTGTAAAATATTATCAAATGTTGAAATCCTACCTGAAGGTTGTAAACTAAATATTAAGGAGACAGCAACACTGAATGTAAATAGAAAGGTATAAAAGACACGGAATGCAAGATGTGTAAATAAAAATATTCGTTTTATTTGTGAGTTATTCGTATTCCATGTGTCATGATTGAGCCAGGTAGAATTCGATGAGAATTTTCGGTAAGAGCTCTGTGACTCATTACCATAGTGATGATAGGGATGTTTCTCAACGATGGTGGGATGATATAAGGTTTGTCTAGTTGGAGGAAATGTTTGAATGTAATCTTCACCTTTTCTTGATGTTGTGTAATACAAAGTACGATTATTCAGCTTGATAGGAAATGGATGAAGTAGTAATTGATGGTACTGTAGGTCATTACCATAATGATTATTACTAATTTGTTTCTGATATTCAACCGAAATCGGATATCCTTTGTTTGATATGATACAATGTTTTATATATACAAATATAATCAGCACCAAAAAATAAAGCAAACTAATTCCAATCGTAATAAATAATAAAGGACTGAACATAACCCAGTGTGATGATTCTTCCACTGTGCTCTTGTTCGAATGTATGCTAACTATTGATCCTTTAACAACACTACCCTGAAGCATTTTGTCTTTATTTCGATAGCTGAAAAGTGGACTGTATATTCTTAATCCGATATTGGCATCACACTCTTGGATAATTAGATCAAAAATTAATGTTGACTGGAACGGTGACGGAAATAATGGAATCTCGTTGATTGAATTAATATCAATCTGATAAGTTATGTGAAATGATTCTATCTTTTGATTTGGTTTAAAGTAATCTTTTGTTTGTGAATTCAATACAACAACATCATGGTTACTTAGAATCAACGAGTTTGCAGGCCAAATGAGTTTGAAATTGATGTACGCTGGCGTTCCTGTCACGTAACCTGTGTTTAATTATAATGCACATGTAAAATTATTAGAAAAAAGAAACATTAGTCAGGTGTCGTAATCAGCAACATGATGGTCATATAAAACCGATACCTGTATACTTTAAAGGGTGTTCTGGTTAGTTTTGGTTAAATATTAAGTTACACGTAAAGTGTAAAGTTGTATGGATAATCTTAGTTCGAAGTTCCCTGAACTTTTTACAGATCATTGTTCTAACATCAGTAGATAGGACATATTCATGGAAAATCTTATTATTTTGAACAGTTCTATCTTTTCCGACATATAGCCATTAATATAAATTCTTTTATCAGTTGTCAGATAAAACTACCTAATATTAAACACACCATTAAGTTATGGAAATTAAAGAGTATAGTTGGTATTCAACCAGGTTAATTAGTGATCACAGGCAATTCACTCTTACTGAGTTCCATGATTCTCCCAATTTTAAATAAAATTATTTTTGTTGGTTCAGATGGTTTGTGGAGATTGTAGATTTTTCATAGTTTTGAACAATGAACTTAGCTAAACTATCACTGAGGTACTGGGCGCCCTGGATATTTATTTTAACTACTCAGAAGTATTCATCCACTAACAACACTCGGTCTCTCACGTGAACACTTAACCCCTCGATACCTGGTGTACTTTCATGTGTACTTACTGCTGAACGGTCTTATACTATGATAAAACAGCTGTCTATTGCTTCCAAGGTTTCAATAGTAATTTAGCTAAGATCAGTTCTTGGTTTAAAACTGAAAAATATTTTTAGCTTTCAGTATTAAGAATTTTGCTTAATAATTTTTTCGTGTCTATGTTATTTGCTCTTGATATATCTAAGGTAGTTTCAAATAAATGCCTATGTATATGGTAGGTTCTGTGATTGCTATAAATGACACAATAATGCTTCACATTCCTTTCAGTGCTCTAAGAAGAAGCTAGAAGTATTATATATAAATATAATGTTCACCGACTGTAATGAAAAATTCATCTGCGTACTTTGTCTCAGTTCTGTTGAGTTTCATCGTTTATTAATGAATTAATTGGGGGGAACAATAAGGCAAGTGAAGAATTTCTCTTGGTTTACAGCAAGAAATACACTGTTTATTCTTGTAGGTAGAGTAGCTATCCACAATTAAATCAAGTTTATTCAAATCAGCAGTACTCATGTTACACAAGTCAAGCATCCTAGCTGTCATTGACCCACTTAGACGATACAATTTTTTTAAAAACAAATATTATACTTCCAATGTAAACAAATGGATTGGACCAGTACACCAGAAGGTATATTTGGTTTGAAGATACTATTAACCACTTTGACGATTGTCATACAGGGTTTATCTGAAAGTTTACAGTGCGAATATTCTGAATAGATATCTGACGCTTTCGCTTCTCAAGTAGAGCCATAAAAAGGTTAATCAAAATAATGTTGGTAAAAAACGCACTACTACAGTGAGTTTGAGTTTCTGCCGTTGTAACCTTATAAGTGAGTGATGATCAGCCGTAAATAAGGTTTTATTTTCTAATATTTTCCACTGTTTTACAGCTAGTATTAGTCTATGTAGAAAGTATTTTATAGTGAACTGTTATAACTTGTGGTCTTTTGCCTTATTTATGTACAACGTAGTGATACCGCCAATTAGAGAACAGTGACTTATCGACCGGACCAATGACGCATAAACCCATACGAGCAGTCTAGAGTCTTGATCGGTCCTTCTTTCTGCCTAGCCCTGCCTGCTGAGTCGAGAACATTAATCTCGGCCTATGTATTTCAAACACACTGTGTTTATATGCAAACCAAACAGACCAAACCGTACCATAAAATAGAAAATAACCTTTGCACAGGATATAGCCAAAAAGTGGCTGTGAATGTGAGGGACTGTAACTAATAGACTGGGCATAACTGAAGAACGGCAAATCGTATGATAATAATCTATAGGTTGAAATGAAGCTTATAATAAGAGGAACATGAATAAACATAGTTTAGTTTATATAGTAAAATTATATGTAACTTATTTGTACATAAATGGTCCTCAAAAGTTATCATTCGTAATTCTCGTTGGAATATAACATGAACAAATCCCCACAATCCACATAACAGGCATATTATTGACCATATTAATTCATATTAAGCTCAAAATAGGTGCGAATTGGATGTAAGTTTTAAAATTATTTTTCAATCTCTTAACATATCTCTGTAATGTAAAATTTATTTTATTAGTTTTACAGGGAAAAATAAGTATCTGGATAGAAATAATCACCCACAACACCTAGTTTACAATTTGGGATTAAACAAAACAATCATAACATGAATGTTTTATAACATGATGCGTTGAATAGAGCTTTTCTAATTATCACCACCTAGTATTAATGTATTTGATAACAGTGACAAAAAATGGGATGCATTCTAATTACAATGTTACTGAAACTAAATATAAAAGATAGATGTAGACACTGAGAATGAAAAGCCGTGTAAATATACTATCATCATGGTTTAGTTGTTAAATAGGCTTTTAGTTTTTTATATTTGTGTAAGATTATAAAAATACTGTTTGGGTGAATAGTTAGTTATGGAAATTAAATCTTCAAAATAAGACAAAATGCTAAAGAGCTTTGTGCGGTACGAAAAATTTACTTATCTCTGAAAAATCTAACTCTTTAAAGTGAGAATATTATGAAACCATACAGTTTGTTAGTAATTAAGGTAAATATTTTTCAATCTGCGCACTTGATTTGGAGAAGTAGTGTAGACATTAAATGAGCATGATTGTATAGTTTGGACCTAGGTTCGAATCCCGCGAGGCGGGGTCGTGGATGTGCACTGCTGAAGAGTCCCACAATAGGACAAAACGGCCGTCCAGTGATTCTAGGTTTTCCATGGTGATCTAGCTTCAATTGACCCATGATCTCAACTATCGAAATACTACAATCTCCACAAAACCACTTCTGTATATTTTGTCTTTGAATAAGAGTTCGGAATATATTATTTCTTTTCAGGATAAAGCAATACAATTGGGTTTATTAAATACAGAATCTTTCCGTGGAATTATAAAGATGATATATATACGTGAATACTTTTGTTAGTATCTATCGAATTCTTAATAGTTTCAATATTTACATACAACAAGATAAATAGCATTAACATCAAAGACAATCTCAACACTCTTCTGGGCTGTGTTATGAAGAATAGTTTAGCATAAACAGAAGAAATATGCCAATAATGATAATATATCATATGCTAAGATGACCATTCATACTAAACGAACTACTCTCTAAAACAGGTGAAAATCTATGAAAGTTTATTTTCATTTTACCCTCAACTATGTACACTTACTTAAATGTACATATTTTCATTGAAAAGTATATTTCAAACAGCCTTAGACCTGGGTATTTCATAGTTCTCAGTACTACAATAGCCCATATTGAATATGTAATAGTTATAAAGTTGACATTTAAATTAAGTGATAAAGAAAAGAATTCAGCTTCGATTCGATTAAAAGAAACGAACTAAAGTAATAGTCATCAATTTGTAACTGTTATAGTTACTCCTTTTCTATTTAACATTTTTGTTCCATCTAGTGTTTATTAAGTTAATTGATTTTTTCAACTACGATAACGTGCTTGCCTTTTTGCGCAATTTCCATTTACTCTATCCTTAAAATTCAAGTAAACTCTTTTAAATTATTATACCACCCCATCTTATCAAGTTCCCAATTCTTGATAATTCCCATCTTACTGTTTTATGTTTTCTAAATCTCAATTCAAATTATTTTTTTATCTTCTTATTATTTTAATTTTCTACATGAATAGGAATGCGATCGACTGGAAAGATTTTGATAAAATATAATAAATTCATATAATTCTGCTTTATTTGTCATTTTTGTTCCATTCAAACTAATGATTGGAACCCTTGTATGAGGTATATACATTTAATCTAATTGATTTTTCGGTGAGACTATCATTTATGGACGACCTTTGAGTGACAGTGAAGTGACCTTGAGAGTGGACACCTACTGATTAGGACTATATGGGGGTTATAAAGCAGTTAAAATTCTTATTTACAGTTTATGGCCAGGGGGAAAAATTAGATTTCGGGTTTTCATCACGAATTGACATCAGCTATAATGCCAAAACTCTATTTAGCCAAATGTATAAATGAATTTCGTGACGAAAATCGTGACTCGTTATCTTATATCTGATTGGTTCGTCCACAAATTATAGTCTCGCCAAGTTTTCTTATCACTAGTTTATTTAACAACTTATATTTCAATATATTGTCACTTAAGATACTGACTTTTAATCTTAGAATCTGGTCTACAATAATATGCTTATCAATATTGAAATAGAATATCAATTTTCTCACAGTATTCATTAGGAAAATATTGAAACAAAAGAAATGGATCATATTGAAACTGTAGTGTCGGTTGACATGTTAAGCCCATATATCTTATTCTAGCTTTCGGACAGGCCAATATATTCATTCTACTTGAGTCACATTCTAACCTTGTTAATTATTCGCTTATCAATCTTGACTGTTTTTATATGAGCGCATATGTATGTGCATTCCATGTGTGCACATCCCATTCATCAATTTCCGTAACTTATTTTTGTGTGACTATAAATATTGATTAACGCTTGACTAAAGTGGAGTTGACTTACCCGCCATCTCCACTATGCGTCGTTTCACTTCGCTCTATTCCATTCGCTTCATATACAGAATATATGTATTCAAAGTTCATTCTCGTTATTTGACTTATTTAATTCCGTTATTGACTAACGCGATTTAAGTCTATGATTATATACGAGGATAGGCGACATATATATTTCGACAACGATCATTCATACGATCAACTTGGAATCAGATCATGACCCCACTAAAGAACAAAAATTTCTTTTAGTTTTCAATCCTGTCTTTGTTAAAAACTTCCTTATTTTCATTTACTCATTTAATATAACACTAATTTCATTAGGGTCTTAATAAAAATAATTTTCAATCATCCAC